CCCTCACACTAAGCATGCTTGTAGCGACAGTGGAGAGGAAAAACTCCCTTTTAACAGTCTTAGTCTTCCAGCTAATGCCAGATGCAGCAGTAAGTGTCTTTTAGAAAGCAATAATACCAAATACTAATAACTCAACTGAAACCAGTGGCTTACTCAGATCATTATACTGTTTAACCAAGTTTGATTTAACTAACTAGATTGGTTGGAAAAATAACCAATCTATTCTTTTGATCTATCCTTCTGACTACAACATTCCTCCAAACCTCCACATCTTGAACACTGAGGCTGTTTAAATGCCTGTTGCGATCTGAACCACTTATTGATGCAATCACATGGTATAGCGGTAGTGAGGCTTTGGATGTCATCGATTTAGACCCCTCCCCTAAATGAATCAAGCCTCGATACGCGCTTCACAGAAACGCCCCCTCCACTACTAGATACGCCTCAGAGCCTCACTAATAACAAATCGTGTTGCACCGATACCAGTATCGGACGGGGCCCCGATACTGCCCTAAAATGGTGGTATCGGTATCGGCGAGTCCCAACAAATAGGGCACCGATACCATTTTGAGAGCCATAAGTTTATTCAACTATTGTCACCCACTCCTGGTAGGCAATAAAAGGTTCTACTGGATTCACTTTGTATTAGATTTTTTCCTGCTTCACAAAGGTAGGCAGCAGGTTGACAAAGCCATGATGGTGATTATTTTACATTATTATGGTATCGGTATCGGCCGATACTGCACAGCCAGGTATCGGGTATCGGTATTGGGGCCAAAAAATGGCATCGGCGCAACACTAATAACAAATCACTACTTTTTCTTATGATTCAGAAGGAGCTGAATGCAGTATTTCCTGAAATCGCCTGCAGCAGAGAAAAGGAGAGCTAATCCAGTTCTGGTAACCAAAACCTAACCCCCGAAGGAGCAACGGATGGCCCAGACTGTTGTTGGCCAAAGGAGTCGCTAGAAGCAGCTGATTTGTGGCTTCCTGGCTGAGATGGAGACTGAGAGGAGCCGGAGAGGAGCTGCTCCATGAGGGCTGTGGCTACCAGCTAACTGCTGTAAATAAGGGGAGCTGTGAGTTATAAAATTAACCCCCCCCTGCAAAGATGCCTTAAAACTCAAACATCCTTCATCCTTTGAATGGACTCTTAAACCCTTCTTCCACTTTATTTGTTTATTTGTGCTTATTTTCAGCAGTTTTTAGTGTTTGTTTAGTTATTAGATATAATGCTGGGTGTAGCTAATAAACTCGTCATCTTTTGTGTTTTTTTTACGCAGTGAAATATTTATCAGTCAGGCTGGATTCACTCTTCTTTCAGTAGCATCCAAATTAACAGAGACATATTTATTGGGTTAGTGATTAATAACTCTGCTGATAGCCATAGTCTATAAAAGACAGCTGAGGTTTTAACAGCCGAGTCCAACCTTTTAGGTAAGAGGCTAGGACCCCTGGTCAGTAAGCAAATTACAGTTATTATCATTCAACTTATAATAATTCATTTGTTTTACCCTTGATTTGAATTACCTAGCAATTAACTTTAACTCCCAGTTCTAGTTATTTAATATATCCAAAATGTTCTGGTAGACTTTAACAACAGAGGTAATTGTTGAGTGTAAAGCGGGTCTATACTCACCATAGTAGGCAGGCGGATGTTGGCTAAACTGCGAATTAAAACCTGACTCAAACCAGACAGCTCCAAGAACAAAGCTTCATTCTTCTCCTCTATCTGCTTATTTTCTTCTTCCATGGTCTTTAGGTTCTTCTCCATTGAAGAAATCTGTTCAGAAAAGATAAAAAAGTATTTTTATGGATCTGGATCAGATTGTCTCTATTATATTTCTAATTAACATGTTTTTCCCAGGCTTGTTAGCTTAGTGGAGCAATAGATGCTGGTTTCGAATATAAAGGTCCTGCTGTGCTCCTCCAATCAAACATACATATACAGGATATATATACATATATATATATATACATATATATATATATATATATATATATATATATATATATATATATATATATGCAGACACGTTTGTCTTGTAGATAAGAAGACGATATAAAGAACCATACCAAACATTGCGGTCTAACAATTGAGGAAATTAGTATTAGAAGTAAATATTAGCAAGATGCTGAGAATAAGCTATGACCAGCTAACTTTTCTGATGTCAACAACCAGATGTTATGGGTGATTTTCTCATCATGGGATATTTCAATTACTAATATGCTGGATTACTTTTAATCTGCGGACCCTTATGGACGAATGAAGTATAAAAATTGAAAATTGGATTTATAAAACGGCTTCTGGATGCCTTCAAAGGTATGTAGCTGTGGCTGCTTTGTTTGTTTACACTTTGACATGCTGCTATATCTGTTTTAATTGTGCTTTGGTGCTCGCTGTGTCTCAACACTTTCCTAAGGAGCAACATAAAGAGCACAAAACAAAATGGCTCTTCTTCAAACATATGTTTCTGTGTGTAGGTATACGTACATCTACATATTTGAAAAAGGTCCATTTCAAAACATATGTTGTTAACATGTAAATGTCTGCACCCTGGGTAAGAGTGAAAAATCAGTTAAATAAATTAAATGCCTTGCTCATGCACTTTAACCTGGTTATTTCTGATTCTGATGACCCTATACAACATCTCTAACTCCAGATTTTATTAAAAGTTGAGGATTTTTTTTTTTTTTGTAGTTGTGCTTGAAGCACTGAGCTCACCTGAGTGTGTAAATTCATCATATCTGCCTCCATCTCTGCGTTGGACTCATTCAGCTCATTGATGTCTTTGTTCAGCTGCTTGATATCTTCATCATTATCCAGAACTGGGTGACAGAAAAACACATAAAGAAAAGCAAAGTCATCACATAATAATACAATAAACTGCAGTTTATCAGGACGCTGAATCTGCCTTAATTGTTTCTTCCAGAAGTATAATCCAAAATAACCCAACAGTTGTTGTGACACTGCCTCCTAAGGCCTAACGTTGATGCCCAGCAGGAAAATAATGGAGAAAATATTAACTTTGCTGATAAAAAAAAAGAACGTAGACTTAAAAAAAGAATTTTTACTTTAAACCAACTTTAGAAGTTTTTTTTTTTACAGCTAAATTTATCAGTATCACATAAACTCTAATTCTGATTTCAACCGATCTTTGTCGTTTAAACTAGTAGCCCTCAAACTGGGATCCCTGGACATCCTTAATTTCTAGATAACAGGTATAGTTGATAAAACTCAGTTTTGAGTTCTGGGCCGTAAATCAATCATCGTTGTCATTACTTACCTACTTGTATCAATATTCTAATAAACTAATAATATCTACATAAATTGATTATTTGATAAGTTTTTATTAAAATTGTTATTTATCTTTGATTTCACTGAAGACTCCTAGATGATTTGCAGAGACATAATTTTCTCTTAACCCCATATAAGACAAAACCTAGTTCTGAAAAGAGCATGAATTTTGTATTTATCTTTGATGTTAATATATTGATGTGTATAATTAACCACAAAAAAACAAAATGTTTTGAATATTCTACTTGAGAGTATTACTGCTGCCACCATCTGTATGAGAGAGGGGAAAAATGGTTGGGGTGGCCACAGGGGGGCCAATGATTGGCTGAGGGTGGCCGTGGTTGATTGGTAATATTCCTGATTACTGGATTCTTTTTTAAAGGAAGTTAAGGAATGTAACTTGTTTGTAGGCTGCTGTTGCAGTGCGTTTCTAAGTTTTTATTTGTTTATTCAGTGTGTAATCCTGTGTCTCATGTAGCTGTTATACTTGTAAACTTGTATCATCAAATACTTATACTATCAGAGGAGGGTCAACCAAATATTAGGACATTGTATAAAGGGATGATGATAATATACCAGGACAGCAATATGACATTGTATAAAATTGTAACTTGGAATATAGCAGGGTGTAATAACGTGGTCAAAAAAAAAAACCCTCACATACCTACAGCAAAAAAATGGCTGACATAGCCCTCGTTCAAGAAACTCACCTCAGTGATGAGAAAGCAGCAAAACTAAGAAGGAAATGTGTTGGATACGAATATCATAGCACATTTTCTTCAAGGAGAAAAGGAGTGAATATTTTAATAAGGAAAATATAGACTGCCAGGTAAATAAACATGTATCTCACAAGGAAGGTAGATGGTTATACTGGATGTAACTTTAAAGGGTCAAAGGATGACTATCGCTAATATTTATGCTCCTAATTCAGTCAACCCAGACTATTTTCATGAAATATGTAACCTAATTAGAAATATGGGGAATAAAAAGATAATTACTGGGGGTGACTTGAAGCAAATGATTTAACTATGGATAAAACGTATCAACCTACTCAAACCAACACTGCTGGTGTTGCAGCGATTGAAGTATTGGCAGAAGAATTGGTTGTATATCAAGATGCATTTCATAGAGGTAGGTTACCTGAAAGTAAGTAAGTAAGAGGCAGACATACTTCAAAGACTATTACACATTATGTGGATGACAAGAAATTGTGACACACCAACGGTTGCCTTTTCACTAGATGCAGAAAAGGCGTTTGATAAAGTGGAGTTCCCTTTTTGTTTTATACCCCAAAAAATTTTACATTGTTGCTGGACTGCTTTTTCTTTTCTTATCACTCTTATTATTATTATTATTATGGCCTTGTTTTATGGTTACTTGTATAGGGAAGACAAAAGAAAAAGCTGGACAGTTGCTAAGTGCACACAGGATGTTTTTCTGATTTATGTTACTGTAACAAGATAATAGGTGCTTTTCTGTATCTGTCTGACAAAAAAAACAACAAAAAAAAAACAATAAAAAAAGAGACGGCTGGCAACCCTATTTGTGACACCATACTGGACCATGTAGAACACAGATTTACCTTCACAATGCCTCAGAAGGGCAAGATTTACGTAAAAAGAGTAAACCTAGACATGAAATTATGTTTTGTTTTTATAAAGTGTTTTTATATATTTTTTTTTTTCATTTTTTGCATTGATATAAATATATTGGTGTGATAACTTAGTATAAGGATGTTTGGTTAATGGCTATTTTGAATTTATAGCCCCCCCTGGAGGAAACTCCACCAGCCACCGCTGCTAAAGACACAAAATAAAAAGCATAAAACATAAAACAGTTTCTGGTTCCTACCGAGTCAGATTGAAAGCTTTGCAGACTCAGAGCATTCCTGTCTTACCATCACTTGCTCTGAACTTGGCTGTTATGAAATCGTCTCCAGGAAGTTTGGTTTTCTTCTTGTTGGCCGGAGCTCTTGGACAACCTGACAGGCTGAAAGAGATCCTTGTCAATCTTTTTAGGGCTTTTTTAGCATTTGTAAGAAGTTTTTTCAGATCCATAAATGTTGTAATTAGTGCATTTAATGACTATGAATTGTGATTTTTGTGTCTTGTGAACAATCTCAGCCATTCTACACATCCAGATGTATTTAGCCGAGACACAAAAACCAACATATTGCACAAAAAGCAGAATACCTGCGGTGGGTCAAGAAACTGCCGTTAGCGTGACCGGAACCATCACAGCCCGGGGTCGGGCAGGTGGGGCCTTCGGTTTTAAAGGCCTTCCAGGAGAAAGGAGTGCCATTAAGGAGACCTTCCCTCTGCCGCTTGGCGGCCAGTGGACAGCCGTAGGCACTGCGGTGGGTGGCGTACTTCCCACTGATGTGTCCCAGACTGTCACAGCCGGGAACGGGACACCTTGAGAGAAGCAGAAATCCCACTTTGAGGATATGGATAATTATCTTAAAAGAAATGAGACCCATAAAGCTAGAGGACCACAGTAGGACACTGAGATGAACATGTTTTTATGTCCTATCAAAGAGCAGTTCATGGGACATTAAAGGTACTTCATATCTTGAAATATTTCTGAACAACGTACCAACTAAAGCTTTTTCATTTTATTCAGTTTCTTGTTTGAAATATGTACTAAATTCCAGACAATCCTACATGTTAGAATAATTTACTCTGCCTTTTCCGTTTTCTTCCTTTATATATATATTTTTTTTATTTCAGGTCATGGTTTAGGGAATATTAATACTGTTGGGATCTGGAGGTCTGTCCATTTTCTCCACCAGAGGGCGTTCTAGATCTCCTGGAGCCGGAGCTGATTGCTACCACCTGTCGCTCATCTGCTCATCAGGGGATCTGTATTTAAGGAGGCAGAGAACGTCTCTCCAGTGCCAGAGTGTTTGCCCTTTAAGGTTAGCAAGCCTGAGCCAACCTGCCTGTCTGAATCTCTGACTCCCTTAAAACCTGAACCTCAACCTGATCCGTTTTCTCCTCTCTGCTTCCCAGGTTGAACCTGCCTGAAAACTAGAAACCCTGAAAAGTTTCTTTGTTGGAAATCTGCCTGTCGGATCTCTGAAGAACCCTGGAGAATCATTCCTGCCAAAGACCTGCCTGCCCGCCCTCTGAAGAATCTAGAAGGGAAACTCAAACCTGTGATCCGCAAACACTCAAACCAAGCTCTGCCTCTGCCAAGCCCTCAGCCTGCCGACAGCCTCTGGACCCTCCTGGTTCCCCCCTTCTGCCGTTCAGCTCAAACTCCTGAACAGGTACAGACCTGCATACTCTCATTCTGCAAATATCCTGGACATCCACTAACTCCTCTGTCCCCCTCTGCAGTGAACCCATTCGTGACCAGTCCTGGATTCTGTTAACCCCTGGATCTGTTTCTTCTCTGTGCTGAATTATCATTTAAATAAACCTTCTAACTTTTCTCCTGCTTCAGTGTGTTCTGCATGTGGGTTAGGAACCTTAAGCCAAACATGACAAATACCTGGATATTAATCCTTAAAACAGCACTCCTGTTCATTGTTTGAGTTGTTAAATCACTAGAAAAATCCATCCTGAAAATGGCAAAATGTGTTTTGGTCCCAAAGGACTGAATAGTTTTAAAACCAGCAGGAGGGTTTATTTCTAAAACCTAACAGTGTTGCTTGAGCTGATGCTCTCACTGAGTCTCATCTGTTTGCTCTCTTTCTTCATTCTTTGTTTCTGACCAAACCTATCCTTTTCCAAGTAGAGAAATTCGTGGTGTGACCCGTCACAGAGGAAAAAGGAGAAGGAAACCCAGAGCAGAAGATTGTCAGAGGGAGGGGCGTCATGCTGGTCAGTCAGTCTCTGACTGCATTAACCACACATCTTGTTACTGTTACTGGGAGTAAAATGGATTCCTTCACCACAGACCTATGTAGAGTCCTCTCCAAATATTTTGCTTTGTAATGAAAGGTTGACAAAAAAGAAAAAAGAAAAATTTGGAAAGGCATTTCCAGGGAAG